AGTGCTGTAAAACAGAAAAAAATTGTACAGCGCACAGCTCCAGGGGACATCACAGTGCACACAATCCAGTGCGAACACACATTCACACACACACATGCTGGGAAACGGAGCTGAGCTTCAGCGCCAAAAGAAAGAACACTGAGGTACAAAAAGAGAGAGATCTCACTGGAACAGGAGGACATGCTACAAAAGGTGTGTTTCTACATGTGGGGCTTTCAGGCATATGACCACACAGCACACAACGAAGAATGATGTGCAAAACAAACACACATATGCTTGAGTCCTCTCAAAAGAACACATAGATTATAGCACAAGGAGGACACTAAAATGAAGAAGGTGGCATTTCACAATCTAGCTAAATATCGCTATGCATGAAAAACATTATCTATTACTTTAGTCATCCTGAACCAGCTTCATTCATATCAGACAATAACATACAATCCTGACATATAATTCAACAACAAACACATGTTCAGCAGTGCCTTAGTAATGCTCTGACATCCCTAGCCTGCACGTGGCACTCAGCCTGAAGCCCACAGGTTCATACTGGAGATGGGAATCTAAAAAAAAAAGCAGGTCATAATATTTCTTGTAACAGCTGGGCCCTGTAGATTTTATCAAATGTTACTAAAACTGGAGTATACAGTCTAATGTGGGGCCTGAGTGGGTATTTACGGCCGCAGTATATTGTACATGCTAATGGTAATGAAGGCACATGTCACCCACTGCAACAGTGTTTGTCAGGAAGATCAATTATGGGTTTTGTTGACAATAAGAAACATATACAACATCGCCAGCCAATTTTAGGTGTAGGTAAAGCAGGCATTTGTGGCCCTTGCAAAGTCAGGTTTTATGCACACTGTAGTGCACTGAAAACAATCAGATGTGACAAACCGACTTTCCACAAACACATAACCTTGTCCCCGTTTGCACTCGAGCTTCTGAGGAATCAAACAATTATCACAATCCTGTTTCGAACAGCAGAAATTACCACACAGACTGTGTAACTGTGTGAGTGCACATTTGTGTGGATGTAGCGGTGCGTCATTTCCCCCAGGAATGTTTCTAGACGAGGTAAAGAAAAGGGCCCTGAAACATAATTTCCAGCCTGTCACACTGGCACTATCCATTAAAACCAATGCTAATCGATTTCTTTTATGTCATGTAGATCCTCCAGGGTGTCCTACCCTGCGTTTTCAGTAAGTGTGTGTGTGTGTGTGTGTGTGTGTGTGTGTGTGTGCTGTGGTGAAATGAAATCTGCTGGCTGACAGGCTGCTGAGTGGGTTGTGGACAGCATCTTCTCTGGTTAGGGGAAGTGGTGTTGATACTGCCCGTCCACCGCTACGAACTGGCCGCTCAGACTGATTACGGGAATAAATCCTAATGGCAGTGTACATTGATTAGGCTCTGATCCATCATGGCCCATTAGCCCTGATGAGGCCCCGGCTGAGGGGAAGCCTCTGTGCTCAAACCATACACTGTATATAAAAACACGCACGTGCTCAAACAATCGACCGTGTCCTGCTCTGCTCCAACACATTTATACATCTGAACTGTCAAACTTAATATAATAAAAAAAAACACAAGACAGCGTAGTGTTGGCTAAGGGCGACGCATCAAAAGGTCGAATATTTTATTTTCTCATTTCTCAGCTGCTGCATTTCTGCTGTTATTTGGAAGAATAGATTCACCCTGATTACCCTCAAACTTCCTGGATGGTTCGTAGTAATCGTGTCTTGGTGATATACAGTATAAAAACACAAATGCAAACACATTGCAATAGTACTCAGGAAAAAGAGTACTGTCATGAGATGATGGTTTTATTACAGTGAGAAGTGCCAGAAAGGACAAGTGGTGGACAGACAATAAGGCAAAAACACACAACTGACGAGCCAAAGTCAAACTCATACTAAAATGCAGCCAGTGTGAGACAGCCATCTGTCTAACAGAGCGTCACAGAGCGAAGGTTTAAATGCAGCAATGTCAAAGCAATTTCTGTTGGAAACAGTGCATCAGTGTGTGTGCGTGTTTTTGTACTTGCTACAAAGTGAGGACATTTTGGGTGGTCCTCACATCCCAAAGCAGCTTTTTGAAATTTAATACTTGGTTTTAGGGTTCGGGTTAGAATTCGGTTTAGGTCAGGTGTTAGGCATTTAGTTCTGATGGTTAAGTGTTAGTGTAAGGGACTAGAGAATGTGTTATGTCAGTCAGTGAGTGTCCTCACAAAGATATAAGGACAAGTTTATGCTTAAGATAGAAGTACAAGTGTGTGTGTGTGTGTGTGCACGTTTGTCACAGCTGTTATAAATGTGGCTAAATTCAGAGGGATGTGCGCCTCTGCACGGTCATCATCTGTCATCTGAATGGACTGGCACTGGCAGAGAAAGCGCGGCAGTGTAAGCGCTGTGAGTACTTTGATTGCAAAAATCTCAATGTCACATAGCTTGCTAACAAACTGAAAAAGGCTCCAATCAAGAACAGCATGCTGAATGCAACAAAATACCGTTAGTAGCAGAGAAGCTAGTGTGTAACTGTAGCTGACCACTAAACCAGTGACAGTGAGGCAAACAAGTTACCTAAAGGGCTCTCATTCCAAAGCAATGCGCAGTCAATCCAAATCAATACCCATCTTACAAATGTGTGACAGATCTGAGTTGTCTTGCTGTTATCGAAGTTTTTGCTCCATGGCCGTGTCCCAAATTCCTTTTTTACAGCATCCTTTCCATCTTCAGAGGTGTACGCTAACAGCCAGAATGCATTGCAAAGAGGGCATTTAAGCACTCAACCATCATTTAATTTTAATTTCACTAAAAATATACAGCTTTGTTCCAGGCTGGCCCGAGATTGCACCGTTGCAATGTGATACAGACACAAAAATAACAAAATAGGACAGAGTAGCAACAATGGCTCTCGAAGCAGCTGCGCTTTGTGAGGTACAACTGTGTCGTTTTTCAAGTAAGAAATAACTGAGGGATGATGCATTGATTTGTGGTTTGCAATGTGTTGTAGCCCCAGAAGTGTTTCTGCAAGTGATTATGTTTAAAACTTTGGATTCTCTGTCTAGCATGTTCTATCCCTGAGAGGTCACTCGGGAAATCCTCAGACATCTAGTCAACTAAACTAAAGGACTACTGGGCCCCTGCTCCTACAGTAGAACTGGGATGCAGTCAGCACAGGTAAATACTGGAGGGTTGTTAGTAACAAGTCAGGGGTGAAGAGCTCACTTGTCCAGAGCAAACAAGCCAGAGAGAGAGGGAGGGAAGGCTGCAGGCTACTGTGTTGGGAGCAGATGCTCTGGCAGAAGGAGGAGAAGGGAGAAGGTCTTACCTCCGGGTGAGTGAGCAAAGGAGGAGGGGTTTCAGAGAGGACTCTTATAAGGCCCTTGGGACACACAAGATAAGGCACTTCCAGCTGCACAGTTAGACCAAGATTCAGAAAAGAAAATGTAAAGCAAAGCTTAGAAGGAAGAAAAACAGAGGGAGAGCGATCCTAGAACAGTGTTTCTACAACATTCTACAACATAGCCATCAGCATGAACCTTGTTTTGATTATCCAACCTATACCTGGTAAAAGCACCTATGGAGCTCCGTCTTTTGTTCGTCGCTTTTTAAATGTAAGTCAGCGTTGCCGGTCTGTATTTACATATACACGCAGTAGAGAAGGGGAGTAATACTTCAAATGCACTGCAATAGCAGAATGTCCCTTTGTTACATACATACATTGTTTGATAGATTTGCTTTTAAATGACTGTCCTCCCTCCTTCTCTGTAGCTGCTCTTGCACCTGCAACGGCAAGCTAAGACAGTTATGTTAGCTTGAAACAAACTCTAAAAACAATGTGATAAGGAAGAAAAAAAATCAACATCTTAAAGTCTACACATGCAGCATCTTGTCCACTATCTGAGCTCGTCAGTCTAAGTCCTTTGCACAAGTACACAGAATAAGAAAAACTGGCTAGTTGAACAGAATCAGTATTTTCCATTAGGGTGCCTGTTGGTGCTATAATGAGAGACGAGCTGAAGGGTCTTCTCCACAGGGGATCCAGGCGCTAGAGACAAACCTCGACGTAGTGTGGACTCAAACACTGATCTCAAAAAACGGCTGCGATGCTCTGCTTCTCTCTTTATCCTCTCCCACCAACTTCACTGTTTTTTACCGTGTCCCTGGGACTTTCCTCCCACTCTCTCCATCTCCCTCTGACTGACTCGACACACAGTCTACTGCAATTTCACTGCGGCTGAGGGTAACACAGTAGTTAATGAGATTAGGACACTGCAGGTTTCCCCTCTCTCCGCCCTCTCTCCGCCCTGTGCCGCTGTTCATTTATCCCTGGATAAAATGAGTAAGGGTGCAGAAATTACACTTCTTCAAACAAACAAGCTACATGGTAATGGAAATATTACATATGGCAGCTACTACCGTTACCTCTGATTGCCCAGTATTTAGATCAAATAATTCAGCAGTGGAGAATTAAAGTGGAGGTATGGTCTCATTCTCTTCTGTTACTTCAGACCACGTCTTTCACCTTTGACACGCTGATTCCACATTTTACGTTGATTTCTAGCGCTTACCTCTTCTACCAATCCCCTTGTTGCTACTTCATTCCCTGTGCCATTCATTCTGGAGCTTGGAAGCCCTGGGCTAAAATATGTGAGTACTTGTTTTTCTTCTGTGGTGGAACAACAAATGTTGACCTGAACTCATGAACCGTGTCACCCTGTGCAACAGCCAAAGTCACTTCCTTCTGCTACTCACTGGAAGACGTCCAAACTTTTCCTGGTGCGGTGGATTCAAGAACAACTTTTAAAGAGGCAGCCACACAAAGTGTTAGTTCTCTACGAACAGGAGCTGATCTCTCCCAAAAATGTCAGGGGGAACTCTTAATCTGAAACGTCTTCTCATTATTTAGCTTGTGTATTAGAGACTGTGTGTTTTTAAGGCTAAATTTGGATTTTGGAATTTCAGTTTTCCCCCTTTTATTGCTTTTCATTTTCTTAACTGTTAACATTTTTAGATGTGATGTGAGGTAAGGAGATGGAAGGCTGGAAAAGATTAGTACTTTCACTGCCACTCAGTACGTTGAACACACAGTAAACTATGTATTCAATCACAAGTTACCTACATTGATAAAAGGAATAAAATGAGCAGAAGACAAAGAGAGAGGAACAAATGACAGACATGGGGAGAGAATGTGAGGGCGAGCAGGAACATTGTCTGTCATTGGCACAAAATGTGTTGGCAGCCAATCTTGGATAGCATCACACTGACTGACAGGTGGCACGGCCCGTCAGGTCCTCGGCGCCGCAGCTGCATGGCAGATCATGATCGATTTTTCTGTGGATGTCCATGTCTGTGTGTCTCTCTGTGTGTGTGTGTCTAAGAATAATATGGATATCTGTAATTTTGTGATGAAGGGCACATTAAGATGATTGTGTGTCTAAGAATAATATGGATATCTAATTTTGTGATGAAATGATAAAGTAGCGTACAAAGTGTACATAATTACAGCAACAAACACACACTTCATGAAAACCATGATACACAGAAGGGCACATTAAGATGACGGGGCAATGATTTACACACCAGATTTCATGTTGTGTACATAACTCCCCCTTCCAGTGGCAGATTCTGCCATGACCTCTCCATGCTGTCTTTGCCCTGATCCTCATGATGGTTACACAAACCAACAAATATGTGTGCATAATTTGGCTAATCTGCCCTGCTCTCCCTGTGAATGTCTTCTAGGCCTTTCCATGGGGTCTGTCTTACCGCCAGTGTGGGAAAGAGGAAATGAACATGGCCTTACAAGCTGAGCCCATCCGGGGCTTTAATTATAATTAAATCATTGAAATGAGCTTCAACTACAAGCGTCATATCAACCGAACCCTCTGAAGTGAATGAGGTCCGTCTACTGTTGCAAAATGAGCTTTGTTTCATTTCATATTTAGAAAGAAAATCCATGTATGTTTATTACACTACTATAAAACTGATGAATGCTAAACTACAAAACCTCCTTCTGTCCTCTCTGCACCATCCCCACAACCATTAAAAACCTCATAGCAGGCAAATTATATGTTCTTCACTCACATGAACCCTCAGTGGAAAATTACTTTCCTTATTCCTCACTGACATGGCTGTAATATGCTTTGATGGACTCCAAGGGGGCCAAACGTGGAGCACACCCTGCCTCCCACGCAGGGAGATGCAAGCTGGTGTTCATTAGCGCTCCTGGTGAGGGAAACCCCTCTCTTTTGAGCAAGGGGTCACAGCCCTGAGAGGGGCTTCCTATGAATCTGCAAGAGCTCTTTGATTTGATTTGTGTGGGGGTCTGTTGATCAAAAGTCAACGAGCGCAGGCTCATCAGATGTGTGTGCACGAGTGCGTGCGTGTGTGTTTGTGCAGAGGCAGAGAGATGACGGACATTGCGGAGGCAAGTGAACAGCAGATGCTCCAGTTAATTGGATGTAATGATGACACAGGTCATAACTAAGAGGATAGATTGAGGGAGAGATTAATCTGTGAGTGGAGCTAATTAATGCATGAGGCTACGTGGTATGAAACCAGGCCTATGAATCTATCAGTGAATCATCCTGCCAGTTTAGTCAAGCAGGACACGTCAATCTGTCTCTTCTGTCTCTTCTTCTGTTGCATGAAAAGAAGGTAGAATATACACAGCTAGGGCCCTGTGCTTGTGACTGTCAGGACTTACCTTCTGTTTCCGCCTCTCCTTCCTTTTGTCCTCTGTGTCCTGCAGCATCTTCTCTCTCCACAGGTCAAAGAAGTACGATGGATTGGTGTAAAACTTCAGACCCTCCTTCCCATCATCTCTGCAGGTAGACAAAATAAAATCATTATTATATTAGTATGTTTTGGTTGGTGGCTTTATAACAACAAAATAAAAACAATTCATTAATATTTTAATAAAATATAATGTTGGTAAATGCAGTACATTCTCACATTTGACAAATTAGCGCAATCTTCATTTGAAAATGACTCAAAAAATGAACTGATAATCCAAACAGCTGCTGACTTATTGTTTGAACTCTACGTAAAGGCTAGGCAGACGGGGCGAATGAGCCACAACCTTAAAGTACTACAAATAGGCCTTGTTTATACATATGTTGTATTTTGTCTCTTAAAATGCTGCAGAATCTGTTCTGCTTTTCCTGACCCTGCCTGTCTTTGTCATCTGTTTGTTATCCATGTCATTTGTGATTAGGAATTGCTAATGTCCTGCATTATCACTTTCTCAGTTCTGCTCCTCTTTCTGTCTTCTCTGCGCTCATTACAGATGTCTTTGTGGTCGGTGTTCACTGCAGGGAACAGCTGTGTGACGATAAGGGAGGAAACAACAAAAAAGACTTCTGACAGAAACAGGTAGTTATCACATCAAAGGTCCCTTTCAACAAGGAAATTGCCGTTCACAAATGCCCGCACATGCTGTCCTGAAATGTCAACACAGGAAAAAGCCTCGTAAATTATCCTGCAGATGTCTTTTTCCTTTCGTTTTCCAGTTTCCAAATGTGTTTCTTTCCTGGCATATTATTTACAGCTGATCAGTTTATGAAAACGTGGAGCATCCTCAATTACAATTTTTAATTCTTTGCTTACTTAGTTTGTGAATAAAGCTGTACATACACTGTAGCAGCTGACAGTTCTTTAGCCAAGGGCCATGTAAAAGGGCCTTCTCAGACCTCCTTTTAAACTGAAAATGATAGAGTTAAACCCCAACCTGAACTTGTGTTTCTGCCTCATTTTGGGAGACAATCATTTGCTGATGACACCCATAAAAACAGAGAACATGAAAAAAGTTTCAAAAATACAACAAAGGGAGGAAAATATAATTCAATAATGTGACAATGTAAGGGTGAAGAGAGAGCTGCTGCAGTGAGTGTGTGTGCGTGTGTGTGTGTGTGTGTGTGTGTGTGTGTGTGTGTGTGTGTGTGTGCTGGGGGTAGTATTTGAGTGTTAGTGTACATAATTATGCATGGTATCCACTCTGTGTACATTTGAGGCTCATGTTTATGTGTGTTTGCTGGTGTGAATGAGAGAGAGAGAGAGAATAGCAGCTGTGCTCAGGGTCGATCCGAGAAATAACAGCCTGAGGAGATGTCCCAGGGAGCCTCCTGGTGCGATGTGGGGAGAGGAGAGCAGAGTAAGGTAAAAGAAAGATAAGAAAGAGAAGATATAGTAAAAAAAAAAAACAGGAGAGGGGAGAACAAAATGAGAAGAGAGTAGGATGGGAACAGTACAGTGACGTAAAAGATACAGGCAGTATTTTAAATTATGAATCCTAAGGGTGAAATCATCCCGTCATAATTTTAATCAGTCATTCAGTGTTGATGAATTCACCCTGAGAAAAGAAGTGAGTGAAGAGGGATCTAAACTTCATTTGGATTCTAGGTAAATAGAAACCAAATGAGCAGAATAGGCTGCATTCAGCGATGCTTTGCTCTGCTTGTATACTGTTTATCAGCAGAAGAGCAACTGTGGATAAGCTGCACCTAATCCACACAACTGGACCCTGCACTCAGGGGATTCTTTTGTGAAAGACAGGTGCCAGCCTGGTGACTGACCTTTAGCATTGCAATATACATTTGTGTCTAATCCGACTAGCAGCAGTGTTTACTTCCTTGTCTGGCTAAAAACTGATGTGTAGCCTTCATGTAGCACAAAACAGGGTATTTAGGATAAGACTGGGAAATAAAGTCATTTAGAAAATCACCCACACCTCCCTCTCACTTAGTCTAAGCCATGTTAAGATCCATAGGTTCAAAACATGCACACTACAGATTTAAAGGCCACAGCCTGCACCTGTCTCCGTACATGCTATGTATTTTTACACACACACACACACGCACACACACACAATAAAAGATTGTGTTGTAACCTTCTCCAATTGGTTGGGTCAGGGTGGCAATAATAGACAGAGAAGGGTCGTGCAAGATGCTGGAGGAAGATAAATTTTCGAGTGAGAGGAGGAAAAAAAGTGAGAAAACGGCAAGGTGAGAAGGCAGACAAGTCAAAGGGAGGGGGGTGCTGGCCAGAAGAGCTTTATATTGATTATTTCGCTTCAGATGACTCCCTCTATTGCTCACCCAGCTCAAACTCAAGGACCAAGAGAGATGTCTGGATGTCATCTAGATGCTCTCCGAGATAAAGTTAAAAGACTTTGAATACATGCAAACAACATAAAATATCAAGCATATTACCCATATATGCTAAACTCTTCATCAGGTCAAACTTTCTAACTGTTTAGGGTTACACTTCTCCAAGTTTGGGGAGTCGTTTCTATTTTCTCTGCATGGTGCATCATTGTGAGCATCACCTTTGCGATTAGTAATTGCCATGAGAGTGGCAGGCAGAAGTGTAATACAATAAACTGGGCCAATTAGATGCCCAAATTCATGGCCATTTAGTTGCTTTAGTATTAACACAGTGGGGAGCAATCAGTCTCTCTTTGTGCCCATCAATAAAATACAAAATAATACATTTTTCTCATTCTCCAGACTGAGAGTAGAAGCTGACAAATACATGCAAAGGTTGATGTCAAGCTGGGCTCAGGACAAGGGCTGCTATTCATTGGAAACTTGCAGATGTCAGGGACGACAGGTTCTCCTTTAAAATGTCTACAATAGCGCTCCATCACCATCACACCTCCAGCAGTGTTAAAAGCATATTATTGTGCATTTTTAGGACACAAAATAGAAAAATATTTAGCTGATACTTTTTTGAGCACCATGATACCCAGAAGACCCCTGAATATGATTTTAACTGTCATAGATTTTCTGTATTGTAAAGTTAGCGAAACAGACCTGTAGGGTGTGAGGATGTTGAGTGGCGGCGGCTGCTCGCAGGTCTCATAGGTTTCCTGCAGCGGGACGGGCAGCGACTTGCGGTTGAACAGCTGCTGGTCCTGAATAGTGGAGCTCCTGAAAGCCTTCCTCATGGTAATGTCCTGAAGCGACACTGAGAGGGATGGAAAGATGGAGAAGGAGGGGTAGAAGGAAGGTAGGATCAAAAGCTACTGTTAGTTTCTCTGTGGAATATGTGATGCATGTACAGTATGTGTGCAAGGTGCATGACAGATACAAAGTAAGAAAACTGGGTATCAGTAAAAGACTTGTTGCTCTATCTGCCCTTTTCACAGTGTTTCCTTGGCTGACACACACACACACATCAACCAACAGACTCGCATGTCTCGGATGAACACACTAACATCTGGCTCCATTTCTATCTGTCATCAAAATCCATTCAATCTCGGTAAATTTCCCCCAGAGCTAATCCACACATGCAAAGCTAATCTAGGCCAGGCAAGGATAAGGCTGTCTGTCATACAGAAACAGTTAGTGTTTTCAGAGGGCAAAAAGAAGTAAAGGGGGAAATCGATACCGCACAGCTGCACTTTTCTGAAAAACAAAGTTGGAAAAATTTCTGAGGAGGAGGAAAAGCCACCCTGCTAATGCTAAGCTACATTCTGGTCGGGACGAGTTGAAATCGCGAGTCTAGGAGAGTAGCCAAGGGCGTTGCAACCAGATCTGAATTATGAATGAGGGAGTGACAAATGGATACAGTTTATGGCTGCTCTGGGGAAGCCTGAAAACGCTGTGTGGCATACGGAAAACGTAGCCTATCGTTACAGTTCTGTTATTCGCCCTCCTACAACACACACAATCTGACACCACACAATCCAATACTAACCGGTTACCTGGAACATACAGTAAGAAGATCTGTTTTTAAGACAAACTGGGAGAATAAGTGCATTTCAGAGACTGTAACTGCACCTCTGCCTTAATAAAACAAAATAAATGAAGCTAATTTAGCATATAAAGGCCCAGTAAGGGCCAGCTACCCCAATCTGATCCTCTACATTTGCAGCAGTACAGCTGGATAATGGCTTCAATAGACTGTCAGTGTAGTGCAGGGCCAGTCACCTGAGGCACTGATGTATCATTATTAACACTATGAGGGCGCAGAGGCTGGTAACTAACACTTTGGGATGAGAAAGGAGGCCAGAGAATTCAAGAGGGAGATAATAAAACTGCACGAACACAAGAAAGGTAGGGTAAGAGAAACCCACAGAGAGGAGAGGAACTAACAGTAAAACAAAGAGCAGGAGCTGAAACAAAAAATACAGACAAAGGAATGAAAGAGTGGAGGGAGCAATAGATGAAAAGATGCTAAAGCTAATGTGGAAACATGCAAATAAAGAGGGGAAAGTGGTGCAGAAGAGCACAAGAGAGACAAACATAAAAACACACAGTTTGACTTCTATGGGAAAAACAGAAAAGACATAAGCGAGGTGTCCCTTGAGAGAAGTGCAGTAACCTGAGCAGAGCCAGAGGGTGGATCAGGCTTCACAGACAACACCAGGGAAACTCTAGCAGCTATTTAGACAGAAAACACACATATAAACACATCCAGCATATTGCTCTAGGTTCAACAGAAATAACCACAAGAGGAAACTGAAGGTCCCCAATGTGCTCACAGTATTTGTATGTTTTCTTACCACTGGCCTGGTGGTTTTTTTTAAATAGCAGCAATGGGCAGATCTAAGAAATCGAAGCAGATTTTTTCCCCATGTTGAGAAGATTAGAGATCTGTCTCCTGAAGTTTAAAGTGATGCTTGTGTTTCCTTTGGGGCATATCAGTTTTTATGCCACAGGAAGGTCAAAATAAGCTACAGGAAGGTGCTCACCCACTCAGTACTTACAAATCTACACAACAGATTTACAGAATGGACTGCTACAGACACCCTGCTCGGCATAGAAGTAGCCATTGGCCAACTGGTGAGCGTCAGTCTGGTGTGTCTAAGTGCTGTCCACCGAGCCAGAGCACTGTGCCCTGCTGCCTCAGTGCATTTAGTGCACCGTGCTGTCAGATGGTGTGACAGTACGTACAAAAGCCACAAATAAGAGAGGGGCAGTGGAGAAGTGTGTGTCAAGTTGTATTTGAAGTAGAGTGAGGCAGCTACAGGCCTCTGCTATGCAGCACTGAGTACCGAGAGAAGCACCCTACACTAATCAATGCAGGCAGAAACACAGAAGGTGCACACACACACACAGATGGATATACCAACATGATGATCTACATCCTAATTACGAAATGTCACTTATTCAACTCAACTACCAATTACACTCATTTAGTGAAGACAGTTAGCTAATGAGAAAATGTGAGTGCATGTACTTCTGTGCGAGTTAGTGAAAGGCTGCCGGTGTGTAAGCGTGTGTGTCGGATGTAGCAGGACCAGGTGCAGCAGCAGCAGCCTCTGATCCCAGCCTGGGAAGCTCCTTATCAGTGAGCAAGTGGTGGATAGTTTATCTTTTTCTCTCATATCTTTCTTAGAGTGATATCATCTCCCTACAACATCCTCAACCAAAGAGAGGTGAGGAAGTTACTGTCACACACACACACACACACACCCATACATACTCCCATCTCCTTGAGAATCCCTTGAAGATTCTAGAAAATACTGCTTTCCCTCTCTTCACCCGCTCCGTCATAAAGATGCAGTCCTACACACAGCCACTGAAGATAAGAAAAGGCATAGGCCACGCTGTCTTTTAGCATCCAGGTATGTCGCTCTCTCCTCTTGTACTTCAATGCAAATGTGGCCCTACTGGATATTTCCCATCCTGCACACCCTGAATTGTTCTTTCCAACTCAGATTTTGCTCCATCCTTGTGCTGTGGTTGAGAGTGTTCCAAAAATAAGAAAAACTAAAAATACATGGGGAACAGTACAAGCCAACTCTCTGTAATTAATATTGGAATATTGTATTAGTTTTAACAGTTGTGTTGCGAATTCATCTGCGCTAAGAAGTTAGCAGATAAAATGTAGGCAGACAGCCTGGAGAACTACTAGAAACAGAGGGAGGCAGCGAGAGACTGTAAGAAACTGAGCCCAGAGGGACTGGCGTTGTGGCTTTCCATAATGGCCTGCAGCCAGTGCACTGATACAGCGGTGCCATTACATAGGAGATACAAGCCATTAGTTTGACTGACTAGAGTGATAGGGGGAAGAGCCTGACATCACACAAATAGCGTCCACACAAAATGGAGAGGGAGTAGAGATCAGTCATAGAAATGAGAGAGCTGGGGAGGACAACAAAGACAAAGGGGGTGTGGGGGGAATGGTCAGGAGAAGAGGAGTGAAGGCCTAAAGGACAAAGTGAGGGTGGATACTCTTTAGAGGCTTAAGGGAAAGGTGTGGGCAGGGTGACTGTGTATGTATCACACTGAACACTGAAGCACTTTTGATCTCAACCACTGCACTGCCGATGACACGGCGTTCATCGCTCTCTCAATGCACCTCTCTCCAAACTTCAGCTAAATCATCTTTCACGCTGTCCACCATCTTCCGCTGAAAAAGCATTACTCGCTTCAGTGCATCTTTCTACTCTGTTTGACCACTACTATGTTGTATCTGTGTCCAAATCAGTGGCCAAACCGAGCTAAGCTGCACAGAAGCTACCTGACAGTTAGAAGGCGCATTATACAGTGTGACTCATGTTTACACCTAACTCTGAAGTCATAATGCATTACCTCACAGTTGGTTTGAAATGTGAAGGGGGAGTTCAAATTTAGTTCTTAAGTGTAAAAACACTTTCTGGGTGTTAAAAGCACTTTTCATAGTTCAGCTAAAGGCATAACATACTTGCACCGAAAACCTTAATGTATGTGTATATATACATACAAGAATCACCAGTACTTTACTAAAATGTGTCATATGGGTTGTGTCTATGATGTACAGTGTGGATTCCCTACCTTGTCCCCGCACCCAAGGGTTCGGGCCGGGTTCAGAAACTGTATACACGTCGGGTTTGGACATGTGGTTCAGACTATAAGCTGGATATGTCTGAGAGAATTAAAACAGTTTTGTTTGGTCCACTGAACTGCAATTGCAACAAATTGTTTAAAAATATAAACATTGGTTTAAACTGATGCTACAGCCATTTATATTTTAATATCAACAATTATATAAAAATGATGCTGTGAAAATTGCTGCAATGTTCATTTGACACAACTATGATAAAGTTAATATTAGCTATAAACCATAATTTAGCTGTGAATCAGAAACCATTTCTGCATCAATCTGCTCCCAGTTTTTACTGGATTTCATTTTTATCCTCCTTCCTTCTCCCCCCCCCCTCCATCCTACCCAATCTTCCCCCAGTTCTAATTTATGGTCCCATCTCTTCCTGCACTCAGTTCCCTTCTGCTTCTCTCCTTATGCCAACCACAGAGCCACACACACATTTTCAAGATAAGTATTATGCTTGTGTCAAAAGCAAATTGTGTGCGTTGGTGTGTATGTGGGTAAAGAAAAGGTGTGGGTGGGGACGAAGGGTGACATTTACAGGAAACAAACCCTTTGGTTTATAAAACCCTCCCACAACCGTCCATCTTTCTGTCATATTTATCTGATGTGTAGTCTGCAGGCAGCACCCACTACTACACTTCTTTGCTAATATAGTCGCTTGATTTGACAAATCTTTAATGAATAATCTCCAAGAAAGGTAAGTGTTATACAGTGTGGGTTTCTCCATTTACAAGACAACTTCATTTGGTTATAAGTGATTGCAGGGGAGTTGAACTGAGTAGGAAATCTGTGTAATCTGCAGAGGAGGCCATTTCAACCTGTCCCAGAAAACTCTGCAGTACAATCCTTTTCCACTCCACTGCTTTTGCTGCAGTGCCCTGTATTATGCAGCCATGTCTCTATCCTTCCATCTTTTTACTCTCCTTCCTTCCCACTCCCCCCCACCACCACCGCACTTAAACTGCAACTGAGATGATCCTTATCCGATGTCTCTCAAGCCAATACTTAAGGCTAAAACAGGAAAGTCAGGCTTATTTATAAGGGGAGATAAAACCCAGGACCACACGCATGCACACACACATACTGTGTTTTCATCCCTTGTGGGGACTTTACATTGACTTACATTCATTTCCTGTAGACTTATCCTAACCTTAACCATAACCACTAGTTGGTCTTAATACACTCGTTCATGATAAAGCTTTTTGACTGCTTCTATCTGAGTCTGCCTAGACTTGGTCCCCTTGTCATAACACCTTTTTTAAGACCTGTCAAAGCACAAAAATCATGACTGTGGCATCTGCTAACATTATCTTATGTTGTAGAACAAAATGTGAAAATGGATTGGCCTTGTGTTAACCACAGACCTCAGGTGAGTCCACTAATTGCATCCACATTGCCCTCACTTGTGGCTTTTCCTTGCATTTTAGTCCCACCCACATAAGAGGCAAAGAAAAAAAAAAGTGAGGAGAAAGGAACCGAGGAAACATTTAGTAAAATGACACGCCCCTTATCAGAAATCAGCTGGCGACTGGACCCTCCAGATGATGGATCTGAGGAAAGGACACATCATGAAACATCAGGCAGGACACGGTAAGAGAAAGACCAGGAGGAAGATGAGCAGCAATGTGGGGAAATAAAAGGTGCAAACCAATTGAGAGGCCCAACGCACAGGAGATGGAGTTTTATTACAGGGTAAGTGGACAAGTAGGAAGATACAGATCTATCTATGAGTAATCTGGGCTTGACAGGATCGATTCCTTGACTGAAACATAAACCCAGGATTGTGTACAAGATAAAATAATTCATTGTTCTGTTTTTTTAAAAAAAAAGGTAGGAACGCATGTGCTTACATTCACAGAAAAGCCATAAGAAGGGAGTACAAGCCAGTGAGCATTTTACTGTATCTGTGTCAGTGACAAGGAAGCCATTAGAGTAGCGTTGCGCAAAGCCATAAACACACTGCCGGCCCATGGGAAATCGATACAGTGCCCTCGAGCATGGTATTACACCTCTGTGATTCTCTCTTTTCACTTTGCACCCACAGCACTCTCCTCTAGTTACACTATCCTGTCATCCCAATTCTCCTCCTGGCTTAGTTTCCTGGCTTACCTAACAGTCCCACAGTTTATCGCATTCCTTTTTATTATTGCTCAGTACAGATATAGCCTGGCCATACATCCAATTTCTCCTCACAACAAAAATGCCTTTACTGGGTAAACAAGCGTCCAGGCAAAGTGAAACTCGGGCAGAATGTTTCTGATAGAGGTCTGGGTCTGTACTACAGGAGGTGAACAATGACACCATTCCATAGCTGCCTTTTCCTCTAATAACAGCCATTAACACTGAGGCAAGTGAGCACATTCACACAACTGACACATGGAGAAAGGCACATTTAATTTGGTGCAGCAACAGACACACAGATGAAATGAGAGAGGTGGAGGTCTAAGCGTGGGAACTCATTTTAAAGAAAGAGGTAATGCGTGAGTGTAACTGTGTGTGAGATTATAGTACTCACATTCCTCCTCTTTGGGGTCCAGCTGTGTGACACTGATGGAGAGCCGGTCCACACGCTCCTGCAGGGAGTTGACCCGGAAAGAAAAGGAGTGGGCTTCGTTGAACAGCTCTCCGAACAGGTCTTCTGCATATTTACCTGCACATGCAGTACACACACAAGTAAACACAGGCACAAACTACATTAAAACATTTATTTTATGCTTATGAAGTACTCAACTATAAAAACCAACAAACTGTTAAAATGAAAAAAGAACAACACAGTGTTGAAAACTATTGTGTGGAATGATTAAATATATCTTTTCACAGTCATTACAGCCTGTGTCTGCAGCGATAATGAGACAAATTGTTAATTGTCTAAAGTACTCAAAGCAGCATTTCTCTTTGCTAGAACATTTTCACTTAACTCTTAGTTACATCGCCTGACTCTGGGGACTTTTGTTTTGAAAGGGTAAACTGAAATCCTCCCTCAGACGCAATTTGTCGCACAGCATACAAAAAAATGCCGTTTTTCTTCTGGGTGAGGCAGCGTTGTTTAAAAGATGTGCAATTACTGAGATTGAGAGTCTGAGACACGCTGTGTCGGTGGTGGATTGAAATCCCTACGGAACCTATCATTGCAAGCTGACTGCTCTGATGGAGATGTGAGTGCTAGAGATGTTTTATCACTGACAGCTGTGTGATACTGGCGCAGAAAAAAGTTTTTGTTTTAATTTCCTATAACACACGGTTTTGTCATACTTCAGTTTGCAACCTAACTTCTATTTGGTTAAATGTAGACAAGGTTTTCCTTTATCAGCCAACAGATTGCACCATATACTGAATAAGGCTTTTTAGCCTCTATAAATCAGAGTGGCTGTCATGTCCATATGGTGTTTTCTCACCTTTCCCAACACAAAGCTTTTTAGAAACATGCCAAACAAATTATACTCCAAATTAATTGATTATTATATTGCATACTGATCAATCTGCTTTGTAAATCAGGGGTGGAAAGTAGATCATGGATCGTGGATATGCTGTTCCTGCTTTATCATTAAACAAAGCAGACATCTGAGTGCTCCAGCCGTCTTAGCCTAAAGTTTGACCTACAGTCCAAACCCGACCCGGATGCAAACATAATTTGTAAATTTCTGTCAGAACCGAACTCGGTTCAGGTATCCACACTGTAGTGGAAAGTACCTATGTGCATTTACTCAAGTACTGTAGTTCACTACAATTCCAAAGTAACAAACAAACCAGTGCAGTTTTCCTGCAAACTTTACTGTCCCTCAGTAAAAATATGCAATCATGAAAACTGATATTGAGGCTAAGGATTAGTGTGTGTTTAATATTCTAATTTTCATGTGCCTGCAATGCATTAACAGTTGAATAAGCAGACTTGTGCAGAAATTAATACCTAAATAAGCAGGAAAGAATGAAAACTTACTGACAGGTGGGCATTAGCTCAGTCAGTCCCTAATAGCTGAACGGTCAGCTAAACGACTTACAGTGAACAGGGGTGTGTATGTATAGTACACGTGCCGTGTCCATCTATTTAAATAGCTGTTTTGTGTGTATGTCCTTGTGCTACTTACTGAGGCTGCTGAGCTGGCGGATGACGTTGGCCAAGGAGATATTAGTCACACACTCCAGCTCGTTCTTGATGTTTCTTGGCAGCACCGTGTGGCACAGGTGCCTGGGCTCGATGGTGCGTTTCACCAGCGGCATCCTTCTGCTGCAACTCCGCTACCTACACGAGTGAGGGACGCAGGAGCGCAGAGAGACAAAACTTCATTAGTGCACCAATTCATCTAACTGACCTTGCGATTTTGCTTGTTTACTACAACAATAAACCAAAGAGAAGAGACGGACGAAGCTTGTTTCACTGATTGTTTTGCTAGTAACACTTGAATTGAAGGAGCATAAGGAGAGAAATACAGTGTGAGAGGATCCTTGAGATAAAATGCAACAGAACAGGAGAAAAGAAATGTTTTGACACTGCTAACAGCCACGTTGCCTTATGTGTTCCACTGGCTTAGCAGTATCCTTCTCATCATGCACAGCCTGGCTTACATTTGATTTGATTTGATTTTGATTTGATTTATTCTTTCAAGCATATAAAACAGTTGATATAACAACACACATTTTTACACACGATCCAATATCAATTTGCTTATACCTAGTACATGCTTGAATGGAGTAGGAAGAAGTCAGACTTATCCAGTCCTACCCCATGACATCATCTTACCATCATTGGTTTACAAGCAGTATCTCTACATAAATAATTCTCTTCTACACCACACAAGTAATATACTAAAAAAATACCCCACTTATGGAAATACAAAATCTTTTTTTGGTTGTACGTATAGCATGAATTTTTAAATTTAACTGACCCCTTAAATTGTATCCCCCTTCCCGTTCGTTAAATAGTTTTTGAATTCCCCCAGGTAATAAATTGTTCCTGGCTTCATACATAAACACTGCAGTCTTATATCCCACTAAATCAAAAAAGTTTTGCAATTTAGACTGTATGAAAGCTCCAATGGTGTGATCCCTGCACCCCATCTTATGCACAATTCGTATCGCTCTTTTTTGTAATATATACAATGGTTGAAGTGAGCTTTTGTATGTATTTCCCCAGTTTTCAACGCCATACTCTAAGTATGGTAAAATCAATAAGGAATACAAAATACGTAGTGCTTTCCTGTCCAAAATATATCTAACCCTTGCCAATATCAATATATTTTTTGCTATTTTGTTCTGAACATATCTGATATGCAATTTCCAGGAGAATTTGTCATCAACTATGACACCTAGAAATTTAATTTCATGTACTCGTTCTATATTAGCTCCCCCAATATTCAATTGAAATTCATTGTCTAATCTGCGATTCCCAAATACCATAAATTTAGTTTTATCCAAATTCAAAAATACTATATTACTGTCACACCATTTCTTTATCTTCTCAAGTTCCTGTGTAACCCATTCAGAGAGTTGCTGTAGGTTTTCACCCGATGCCCATACGGCATACCTCAGCACTTTGCCTGCCCACTCAACCATGCTAAAGGCATTAAAACTGCAGTGTTTGGATGCTTAGCCCAGGATGATAAAAACCACAAACGACACAGACATTGCAATGATTTGGAATCAAAATATGTTTAGAGAAAGTATCCTACATACTCCTTAACACACGTTCAAAATGACAGTGCTAACATAATGGTGTACAGTGGGTATAATGTTTATTATCTTAGATTAGCATGGTACCAAGATAACAAATGCTGCGGAGGTGGCTGGAAATGTCAATTAGTTGTGCAAAAATCAAACTTCTGACCTGATGATTTGCTAGGTGAAAAGTCAGAGGATCACCAAAATGATTACAATACAACCTGAGCTGAACTTAAATATCTGTATTAAATTTCATTGCAATCCCTCAAATAGTGAGATATTTCTCTCACAAGTACAAATGTTTACCACATGGCAGTACCAGAGGAAATGTCAGGGCATCACAAAAGCCATTGGATTCATTATCTGGAAACCATCAACAATTTCAACCATATGAGACTAAAGGTATCAGAATTAAAGTTTGGAAGCATGATGACGTTGTGGAAATTGATATACTGTATAAACAACACAGCGTCTCCCTGCTGTTAGCTCGTTTTTAATTACAAGAGTGTGCAGTGCTGTGGAGATCAGGTGCTCAGATGGACGGACCGACTGACTGAGCTTGACACTGATAAGACCTTGTTAGAGCACTGATTAAACTTTAATTGATGTCTGGTGCTTTTAATATCCTGCTGTATTCTTAGTAGTGTTGCTGTCACTGAGGAATAAACAAGATTATTGACCTTATCCATAAAGATGTAGAGCAGGGAAGGTCATTCTAGGAAGTGGCTCAGCTATAGATGGTTAGAGGGGAGAGAGAGGGAATCCAGTGAAACGCTTTGTTGAAGTGATTCATCTTAACGGGGTCATTGGTGCCCATAAAAGGAAAAATTGAGAAAACACACATCTCTAAATTGTTAAAGTGGTTTGAATGAGGTGTGCGGGCGACATTACAGTGACACAAACCCAAACACACTGCTAAATATCTGTCCATTTCTACAGTAACAAGATGCCTCCCATAGTCTCTCCATCCTTTCCTGATGGGGACCACCTCTTGATATAATGCACATTGACATTTTCCACAACCCCTGGTCACAATCTACTTAATGTAACAGTTACTGTATGAACAGGACGGTCATCTTAAAAACACACAAAAGCAAGAAAAAGGATATCAACCCACAATCTGAAATGAACTAGAACTACCTCTTTGAGGGTGTATGCCTCTGACCGTCACTGACCTTGACGTTTGACCTTTGACCACCAAATTCTACTCAGTTCATCCTCAAGTCACGTTAACTGGTTAACTCCAGAAGTGCTTGTAGGTGGGTGTTGTTACAGGTTAACTGCTTCCCCTTGTTTCCAGTGTTTGTGTTAAGTTCACCAGCTGCTTCTTTATTAAACTCTGCAACATAGTGAAGACACATACTATGTCCCCTACATGTCAAACTTTACCTTTAATGTCCAAATCTTTAGCAATACAAATAATATAACAAATTTAAGTACTACTATAATTTTCTTAAGGCCGAGTTACATCTCAGCTCTCTCGAAGCTTCAACTTCCTGGTCTGCTTTTAAACGTCTCCTCCTTTGGGATTAATAGGGATTTATTGTTAGAAATCAGTATGGCATTTGTTTACATTTATTCACCTCATCAGTTCCTACATTATGTATATTCAGCACCCAGTATCTCTGGGTACAGGTGTACAGAGACACAGACGGATCAATGGCGAGGCAAACATTAAATCTGTCACTCATAACTGTGTTTATTTCTCCGCCATGCACACACACTAGATTATTTAACAAAAACACACACACAGATGATGACAAATGTATCTGGCAGGAAAGCTCACGCTGTTTTTGTAGCCCTACACCCTGTGCTCATCTCTCCCTCTTCAAGGCTTCTCTCCTCCCTCATCTGTCCATAGAGGAATGTGTTGCCCTTTTAACAACCTTCCTCCTACCTAGTGGGCTATATGAGTGATTTGTGGAAATAAAAAATAAAAAATAAAAAATAAAATTAAGCTTTCAGATAGAAATGGAAGCAAAATGACAGATGGAGACAAAATAATTTTGGGCAGAGGTGGGTGACAAAAGGGTTACATGTTTAAAAGAATAATACCCTTTACATGACGTTTTATAAAACAAATCATCCAAGTGAAACAGGGATATAACAGGAGGAAAATGACTTTAAAAAAGCAGCAGTGGATGACAGACAATCATCATCCATCCCAACTCTCTAAGACCCATAACATAACAATAAAAACATATCAATCCTGCCAACCTGAGCTCCTCGGGGTGGGCGATCCTGACAGTTTCTTTTACTTGTCTCTATTAGGAATTTATGAATTATTTAAAAATGCCCTACTCAGAAATTATGCTCAAACTTAAGCAGTTAAGAAGTTCAGTCATCCAGTCGTTCTTTCAGATGATCCTGCATAAAGAATGTTGTAGTTTTTATATAGTGAAACTCTTTGAACACAACAAATGACATCATACAAACTGAATCTGAGGAATGAATGTCCAGACTGAATGATGTAGCTTAAATCAGGCAGGTTAAGCTCAAGTATTTCAGCCAAAAGATGCATTGATGGAGCTAGAACTAGACAATGACACTTTTCCATTTTCAGTTTTATGATTCAATAAGCAAAGCTGCTGATGGGTATTTGAGCAAGAACTATGGTTGTCCTATACTTTTTCATTCTTAACTTTTTCTCCTTCACTGACTGTTCCATGCCAGTAAAATAGAAGGAGGTCAGCCCACAGAAGTATCAAGGGATTCAATAAAGAAATATTTCACATACCCGCTATTTCCCTTCCTTTTCCTTCTTTATTTTTCCATCAAGTTAACAGGCTAGCCAGCCTCTCCCCTCTCTGCACACCCCTTCTACTTTTACAGTCCATACATCTTGGGTGGTGCTTCCCGCTGTCACCTATCACTATGGCAACGGCTGCAGTGGGATGTCATTGGTCACTTTATAGTACCCCAAGAGAGGCAGAGGCAAAGAAGGTGGGGGGAAAAGAGAAGAGCAGGAGGGAGGAGTGAACAGGCTGAGATCGGGGTGAAGAGTCAAAACTGTGATAGCAATTGAGGAATGAATGCGCTAAGAATGAATAAAAGGGAGATCAGGGATCACTCATCCATTGTGCACGAACACAACACAGGGTGAGAGATGGCATGTGCCAGCGGAGAGCTGGGGGCCTCCAATGGTGCGGCTCATTGCACCCGAGACAATATGTCCAACTAGAGGCTCTAATGAATCCTAATGGAGCATTTACTCACTCACACTGCCGCACAATACAGCTGCAGACCCCTCGGTGTAGAGCAGGTCAAGGGCTTTTTATCTGGAGGGCTTAAAAGAGACACCAGGCCCTTGTTACACCATCAGCTGCAATCAGATACACACACAACCATACAAAGGCAACTAGAGTTTCCTGAAGCCGTTTTTTTTGCAACATATTGACAGGATGAATTATTCCAAGAAAGCAATAATAAAAAAAATTGCAAACAGGAACATCCTATCAGATATGAATAGGTACTACATCTCCAGCAAACATAACCGATGTCCAACAGCGAGGCAATCCTTTTAGCCGCAGTTCGTCCTCACAGCCACTGGTTCTGGGAAACTGGAAAAAATCGCAGCAAGAGAGG